AATACGTTCTTGTATTTGACATCAAATTTTGCATTCAAATACACGGATAACCTTAGTTTCAAATAGAGTTTATCGGTACAACAAACTAACTTAAGAGAACTCCGCACAAGCGATATTTTGATATTTTGTAGATATTGCAGCAAATAAAATATTGAATTAAAATTTGTGGAAGAAGTGTGTCAAATGATTGAGTTATTGATCCTTGTTATAGCAATTTATGAATGAGTCGGCGTGTGTTGTAGAATAAAAAATAAATTTGCAGATTTGATGATTAAAACCCCTCTGATATGTGAACTCTTTGAAATTTTATTTATTTATTTTTTTTTTGATGTATGCTATAGATTTGGTAACAAATTCGTTGAATTAATTGCATATCATAATCCAATTTTTTATTTTTTCTTTTAGTAGGTAACTAGTACAGAGCTCGTGCGATGCACGGGGTGTACAATTTTAATGTCATTTATCAATTACAATTATATAAATGAATAAAGAAAAATGTACGAGATATTTATAGTACGTGAGATGTACGAGGCACGAGATATATTTATTTGAGAAATATTATATTATAAGATGCAATATTCAATAAAAGTTTTACAATACGCAGGAAAATTGTACAATAAAATAGTATTTGCCAAAAAAAAATCATATACTATTAAAGTCCTCCTTGTACACAACATTATTAAAGACCCTCTATTACCTTGTTTGATTAAGCCAAATCCTTGATTCATTGTTGTAAATAACACACTGGTCTGTTTTTTGTTTTTTCGCAGATTGAAAGAGAGGAACACGTTGATTCAGTATTGGGAGATTTTTAATTTATAATTGGTTTATTGAGTTATATGTAGAGATAATGTCAAGTAAAATCAGATCATTATCTGTAGTAACAAATCAGATAAGATATTAATCGCATTATAATTTAAAATATATTGCATTTAAAAAAAATCCAAACAACTAAAACGTGTGAAATATGTTTTCATTTGGGAAGGAGACAACTATGTTGACCGATCTTATCATCTTGTATAAATAATTATAATTTATAATTGTATTTAAAAAAGATTATACACAAAAAAAACGCGTGAAATCTGTTTTTATTTATGAAAAAGTCGCGTGAAATCTATTTTAACATCAGATATTTATCTCATTATAATTTATAATAATCTATAATTTAGATTAAAAAAGATTCCAAACACAGAAAACGCGTGACTTTTCAATGCTTGATAAAATTATAAATGCAATAATTAAGTTTAACTTCGATTTTATGGGATTATTTTTTACTAAACTGATTTTATAAGATAAGAAAAAAATACGTAATAAAAATACTTTGATAAACAAATTGTAAAAAGATAAGAACAGATTTCCATACACTTAGTAAAAAGATAAGAAGAAATTTTGAATACACACAAATTCTTAAAAAGATTGAATACACTTCACCGATAGATTGAATACACTTCACCGATTTTAGGGATTTTTTTTATGTAAAGGTAAGAAGGATTGTTTTTTACTAAACGGAGTTTATGTTATAAGATAAGACAAAAATAAAATAAAATAAAATAAAATAAATACTTGATAAAATTATAAATGCAGTAATTAAGTTTGACTCATATCTTATGAGATTGTTTTCTTACTAAACTGATTTTATGAGATAAGAAAAAAAAAATACGTAATTAAAATACTTGATAAAATTAGAAATTCATTAATTAAGATTGACTTTTCTACCTAATATATTTAGTAAACAAGATATATTTTAATATAAGTATAGATAGATTGGAAAAACTTAATATGTCCATATTTTATAAAATGATGATTAAAAATAAAATATAGATTTAGCGATAATAAAATAATTGGTTGTGCGATGTTGAATAGGAAAATATTTTTGGTTATTTTTTGGGTGGATGTATCATATTGAATAGGAATATTATCGTCAGATCTTGTTATGTAAATGCATTGTAAATCCGACTTCTTTTCTTATTTGTTAGGTGATTTTAATCACATGTTTATACACGACCATAATTTGATGTGGATGTATCCTACAAATTAGGTTACAAATTCGGGAATAATTTGAATAATGTATCGTATTTCTTTAATTCTTTTTAGTGAGGTAATTCTAATTAATTATAGTTGAAATGAATTTTTTGATAAAATATATGTTAGTTCAAATCTTTTAATGGACTTATCCATAAGAATTCAAAAAAAAAAAAAAAAAAAAAAAAAAAAAAAAAAAAATGGACTGATATGAAAGCAATGTTATTTACACGCCTTAATTAGTTATTTATTAATATACGTTATAGCTTTAAGATTCCTTAAGAAATGTCAGTCAAAAAAGGGCAATATTGTGATTTGATTTACACAAATAGCAATATGATTAGATTTTTATTTCACGCTTTTTTTTGAAATATTTTGGTATAATGTCAATAAAAAAATGCAGTACCTGGTTACCAAAATTATCGTTATGATATAAAATCGGATCATTGCAAACGTCGGACACGACTCTTTTTAAAATTGATGTAAAAACCATACCTAATATATGGAAGGTAGTTCGTTCCATATAAAAGAATGGCATGATTGTTTATCATCCCTACAGTAATTTTTTTTACTCAAATTCAAATTTAACTCAACTTTAACTCAACCCCACTATCTCCAATATTATTATATAATTAAATAACAT